CTTACATGATGGAAGAGGATTCTGGAAAACAGTTTCAGTTTAGCTAATTTAAAACAGTGCAAATAAACCATAGTCTACAGTCAGAAAAGTACATTCAAAAGCTACTTGAATTAATCATTTCTCTGTGTAGCTGTGTTACCAATTTTATGTACAATTAGGTTTATTTGGTTAGATTTTACTGTTTCATTTATTTACATACCTCATAAATTAAAATTATATTAAAAGGTATACCCAGAGAAGTCTCACTCCCGTCCTATCTCCTCCATCCTGCTCTTAATCATCCCTTATCAGGTACCATTTTCATTACATAGATATAGTTTCCCATATACACATTCATTATATAGATTTCAGCATATAATTCATTATATATGTGTGTGTATATACATATATATAGTTTCCTCTTGTTTCTTGCCAAAAGGTGGCACACTGTATAGAGTCTACTGCACCTTGCAATAAAAGCAAACTTTAAAAATTTAACATCCCAGATTACCAAATTCACAAAGAATATTTCAAAGAACTCTCTATCTTAGTAACACATCCAAGAGTAGTGTAAGTAAGATGTTATAAGATGAAATAACATATTCATAAAAACATCCTTTGGTAAATGTTAGAAATATAATATCTTAATAAATCTCACGAATTTAAAAACAAGGTCTTCCTCCGAGAATTAAAGTCTGAGAAATGTGAGTTCAGTAAAAGAGATGTCCAATGTTGAAAAGACTGAAAATTTAGACTTGATATAATAGCATTTTATATAAAAAACAACAAAGGTTTTTTGTTGACAATAAGCTTTATATATATCAATGGAGGTGTTGCTTATATGATTTTTGATTGTATTAACAAAAGTATAGTTTCTAGGTTATTGCAATCAGAGATTCTATTCATTTGTTGGTTGGACCAAATCTGGAACAGTGTTTAACTCATGGGACCATATTTTAAGAGAAACATTGAAAAGATTACACAGAAAGAAGAGAGAACGCTTTGAGAGAACTCCCTTCAATTATTTGAAAGCAGTTACACAGAATAAGAAACAGACTTATTCTATGTTCTTCTATAAGGCAAAACTCAAACCAGAATATTTATGTCATAAAGAGGAGGATTTTGATTCAACTTTAGAAAAAAAACAGTTACAGTTGAATGTACTGTGTTAGTGAGGTCCCCATCACTAAAGTATTTGGACAGAGTCTAGAATTCCACAGAAGAGATTCCAAGTATCTCTCAGTGGGAAGATTGTGTTGAATCAACTCTATGATTCTATTTTCTACTCACACCTAAATAGCTCCTGAGAGTAGCCTTCTATTAAATAATATAGGATGTGTTATTCATAATGATGACTTTGATTCATAAAGAAAATATTAAACTGTGATCAGCTATACAGCATTGAACATAGTTGGAGCTACAGAAACTTCCTAGAGGCTGTTTATCTGTTTTCTAGTTGTTGACCCTGTTAATGTGGGATCAGACCTGGCTAGGCAAGTCTGGCTGATGGGTGGGACTATTCAGTGCCTATTACAACGCAGAATTCAGGATGGAAGCACCAGCTGGATATAACTCATCTCTGGGGAAGAGAGGGTCAGACATATCAGCAAGGCTTCCTAACAGAGTCTCAGTCATCAACTGGAGCAATGTTTTGAGTTGTGCTTCTCACCTAGATTTGTTTTCCAACTTCCTGTGAATACTTGAAAGGCTCTAGGGGAAAAGGGGACTGTGAGCAAAAGCTAAAAGGACTGTGTTGACTAAAATGTCTGTGAGACTCTAGAATGCAGGATAATACTGCTTTGATGCCCATATGGCACACTGTAACACAAAAGGGAGGTGTTATTTCTGTTTCTGCTCGACACAGACTGGCTTGGCTCATCATAGGCTCCAAGAACACAGTGCCACTGTTTTGTGTGGAGGGTTTCAGCACATCAGTACTGCCTATGGCAGCACTGGGATCTGGGGGAAATGCCCAAGAGGAGAGAGTTAGGCTGTGTCCCATGGCCAACAACCTGCATTTATTTTTGCAGCCAGTGGGGGCCTCAGAAGCTAAAGAAGGTAAGGGCTTCTTTATTTCCATACTGAGATATGTCTCAGTGATTCTCAGTAATAAAAGGGAGAGAGTTGAAGTGTAGAATCCCCTCAGGAGAAGCCGAGGATATAGCCTTTTCTACAGAGTAGCTAGTTCATTACTCTAGCAATTTTTTTCATTTGTTGTTTTTTTGGGAGGGGGAAGTAATTAGGTTTATTTACTTATTTATTCTTAATGGAGGTACTGGGGATTGAACCCAGGACCTTGTGCATGCTAAGCATGCGCTCTACCACTGAGCTATATACCCTCCCCTGCTACATTATTATTCTAAACACAACATGTAAATTAAACATGTCCGTAAATCCTTTGACACTTCTTCCATTGAGAGGTGGGCTCTATGTCCTCTCTCCATGAATTTGAGCTGGACTTTGTGACTTACCTGTATTCAGTAAAATGCAGCAGAACTGATGCCGTGTGACTTTGGAAGCTAGGTCATAAAATGCAATACAGCTTCCACCCTGTGTACAGGAACCCTAGTATGGAGCCCTCAGCTGCCTTGTAGGAAATCTGACTACCCTGAGGCAGCCATGCTATGAGAAAGTTCAGGCCATGTGAAGACAGAGTATGTTTAGGTATTCTGCCTGATTGCCCTAGCTGAGGTCCCAGCTTCAACTACCAGACATATGAGGAAATAAGCCTCCAGATATTTTCAGTCCCCTATCATTGAGATGCCTCTAGGCTTTCCGTTTTCCCAGCTGAGGTCTCAAACATCATGGAGGAGAAACAAGCCATCTTTGCTATACCCTGTTTGAATTCTGACCCAGAGGGTAACTTTATATTTTGTAAAGGGCAGAACTATTACATTTGATCCTAACAATGACACGGATAGGTAGGATGGACTGGCATTATTCCTACCCTCATTTTATGGATGGAAACAATAACAAAGTGGGATTTATGCTTACCAGCCTTGAGATTATACAGCCAAGATGTGCCATGCTGACACTATAATCCCCGTCTTTGGACTCCAAAGTACAGGCTTTCTCTGTATTTTCCCAACTAGATCCTATAGGACTTTAGAATGGCCTAGGGAAATCAAATAAGATATAGTCAGAATTTGAAGACAAGGTGTGAAAGAATGTTGAATGAAAGCTAACAAGAATCGACATTAAATGGATGAGATCAGCCACTCTGTGGAGAAAAAATCATGTAAGATATGACGTACTGATTGTTAATGATAAAGAAGGCTCTAGTTTAAAATGGAACCAATGGGAAAAAAATCTTAGGAGTTTTAATGTTACAAAGAAGTGTTATAACGATATAGTTCTAGGGGCTGATTTTTCAAAAACGAAATAGGACTTTAGAGAATATAAAAAACTCTGCCAATTGTGTTTCTGATGGTATCAAGGAGGAAAGGTGCCATGACTGGCTGCTGGTTCTATTTTAGTCCATTTAGATTACTTTATAGTAAAGAAGGGCACTTCAGACTAGTATATCTTGATGACATCATCCCTTATGGGCATCTTCATTTACACTACTTTTGTCAAGCCACTTTTTGATTTAAATTTAGTGCCTCAAGAAGACTTTTCTCCTGGAAGGGAAAGTACAATGAAGCTAACAAAGCATGCCAGGCTCATTTAGTAGGTTATATTCTGTATTTTTCAATGTAGGGGAATACTAGTATTCTGATTATTCAAGCAGCCTCACACACAACTCCTTACCTTGGGAGTAAGGATCAGCTCCTGAGCTCATGTTGACCCTATCGGTACACAGATATTCTGCTTCAGAAGTCAGGAGGACAGCTTTCTACCTCTTGAATCATGGTGAATACAAGAAGGACGCTGGTAACTTTCTCCCCATGGGAAGTACATTTAAAGCTCCTCGTGACTTGGTGATTCGTATTCTGTGTGATTTTTAACTGCACACCATCAGGAGCTCACAATAACTTCCAGTCTCTCACTCCTATTTCTCCCTTCCTTAAATTTCTTTCCCCTGCAAGTTCCCCCTTCCTTTCGAATAAATGTATTTTAAATAATGAATTGGGTTTCTTTTATTCCATTCTGTAATTCGGCCTCTCGAAAGTAATTTACCGCTCCTCTCTTGTTTTCATGCATTTTTTGCTCTAAGAATGCCTTAGAATATTCTGTTTATGAACGACTCAAAAGTATTTAAAACATTTTGAAAAATTTGCTCGAAAATAATAATGATTAAACTTTTGATGCTTCAGATGCCTAGAATGCTCTGTGCCTTCTGCAGGCCTTAGCACTTGGAAAGTGCTTCACTGACATTTGTTAAATGAATGAATCTGGAAAACGAAAACACACTAAAAGAAAACATTTTATTCCTAAACGATGAAAAAAAAAAGCTTTTAGACTTCCATTTAGACCCACTTTAACAGGCCAAATCCTATAATGAAAAGGATACAAGCATCATTCTGATAATTTGGCTTTTCCTAAATATATCTCTATCAAATCCTGCTTGGCTGTTTCAACCTTGGGGTTTCAAGTCTTATTTTTACGACACAGAAACATGCGTTGTAATGGAGATAACACAAGTAGTGTGGGCTTCCCGTCCTCCTCCCTCTAGGATTTCAACTTCTCCTCGAACACCACCCTCCTCTTCTAGTAAAGCCAACATTGCAGAACAGGCTTAGGACGAGAAGAGAATTAATCGGAGCCATGGAAACGCCGGAGCGGAGGAAACGCGTGAGCGGCAGGGTGGCCGGGGGGAAGGCACCCTCCCCTGACGGCGGCGCGAGGGCGCTCCGAGGACCACGTCACGCACCTCGGGTGACGTCACGACCGTGACACGCGGGTGACGCCGTTGCCGCGGCGACTTCCAGTCGTCTCCGCCCCCTGCCCCCGCCCCCCGCCTGGCGTCCTTCCCCCAATCCCCTCAGGCTCAGCTCCGCCGGGGGC